CGTACCTCTGTCCCTTCTCCTTTGACCTGGCTGGCGGATCTCCCCGTGGATCCCTATTTCCCACAGGCTTCTGGCAATGGGCTGCTCCCTCCCTCCTTCCCCTCCTCCTCGTTTGTCTGCCATCTGTGAAATGTGGAGGGGTGTGCTGGGCTCTGTGCCCCAGATGCTTCCCCAGCCAGGCCCAAGGGCTGGGCCCTCGCCCACCTGCAGGCATTGTCTGCTGAGCACCTGTGGTGCAGATGGGGATGGCTGCAGGGTGGGTGCCCTTCTAGGTGCTGGAACCGAGGGCTGGACAGGACAGGGTCTCAGCTCACGCAGTGTTGGGACCATGGGTGCTGGACGTCGGGAGGTCTCTCTGAGCAGAGCCCGATGGAAGTGAGGAGGGTGTGTGTTGGGGAAGCATTTGGAGAGGGAGCCACGGGTACAGGTGGCCCTGCAAGCTCCAGCACCCATGGGGAAAAGGGAGGGAGGGAGGGAAAGGGGACTGGGGCAGTGGTGGTTGCCTGGGCTGTTAGGGTGGGGGTGACGCCTGCAGTTTTGGTGTTGAAGGGAAGACCAGGGAAGAGGGAAGGCTGGAGGCCTGGGAGAGAAAGGGACAAGCTGTTGGGTGGCGGGTGGAGCAGGCTTTTGGCATCTTTGGGTCCTGAGCCCCACCCCATGCACCACCCCTGCCTGCACCTGGAGGCCTCCCTACCCCAGTCTCCCTCACCTGGCTCCTCCGTGCTCCAGACCCCTCCCCTCCAGAGTCTCCAGACCTAGGATTCCCCCTGCCCAAACAGCACTGACCAGGCCCCCAGGGCCTGTGCCTGCAGCCCCCAGGGACCGGTGGGCATAAGAAGACACAGCGGCCATTCTGGGGACCTTGGAACAACCCTGAGAAGCACGTGTGAGCATGTTTGGAACACGCAGCCGAGTCTGAAGGAGGACAATGTGCCCACAGCGGGAGCCATGCCCCTTCTGGGTTTTCTGATTTTAGCCTCGCACTGCCTTTGAGCGATTTTCCAATCTGTGCATTACAGATAACAGAGAGCAAGGCAGATAATTCTTGCTTACAGCCATGTGCAATGGGTTGACAATGGCCCCTAAAAGCTATGTGTGAGTCCCAACCTTCATGCCTATGATGTGATCTTATTTGGAAATAGGGTGTTTGCAGATGTGTCATTAAATTAAGGGGGTTTTTTTTGTTTTTTTTTTTGGCAGAGTCTCACTCTTGTTGCCCAGGCTAGAATGCAGTGACATGATCTTGGCTCACTGCAACCTCTGCCTCCCAGGTTCAAGCAATTCTCCTGCCTCAGCCTCCCGAGTAACTGGGATTACAGGCACCTGCCACCACACCTGGCTAATTTTTGTATTTTTAGTAGAGACAGGATTTCACTATGCTGGTCAGGCTGGTCTCAAACCCCTGACCTCAGGCGACCTGCCTGCCTTGGTCTTCCAAAGTGCTGGGATTCCAAGCGTGAGCCACCATGCCCAGACAAATTAAGGCTCTTGAGATGAGGTCATCCAGGGTTATGCGGGTCGACCCTGAGTCCGGCGTCTGGCACCCGTGTGGAAGGAACGAGAGGGAGATTTGGGGCCCGCAGAGGCCCACCACAGGAGGATTGAGTCGGAGATTGGGGCGCCGCAGCCTTGATGCGGGGACACGAGGGCTGCCGGCTGTGCCAGAAGGGGCTGAGGATGGACTGCATTCTCCCCGAGTTCCCAGGAGCCAGTGCTGCCGACGCCTTGGCGCTGGACTCTGGCCTCCAGAACTGTGTAAGGACAAACACCCGCGGTTTCTAGCCCCCGCCTGTGGTCCTCTGTTGCAGCAGCCTGGACCGTCTGGACTGCCTGGACAGCATGCAGATGGACTCCGCCTGGGGCTGCCCACGAGTTCCCACTGCCCGCCCGTCGGTGGGAGAGCCAGTCCTCCTGTGGGAAGGGCCCCTGCACTCCTTTATCCGGCGTACACACGTACCTCTGTCCCTTCTCCTTTGACCTGGCTGGCACATCGTACCGGTTTCTGCACTAACAATGACCTGAAGGAAATCTTGAGCATGCATTCGTTTTATATCTGTGTTGGAGTCATTTTATTTCTTGTTGACGCTAATCTTTGAGCATGAGTAGCTTAGCGATTGTGAAACAGAAACTTCTGGATACAAAATCCATCTCTTGGCTGTGACCCAATCACCTGCTCAGTTCTGGTTACCTGTGATTAAGAAAATAAATAAGAACACCCCTTGGGGGAAGGCTTCCCTCCCCCCGGCACAGCAGCTTGAAAACCAAAAGGGAAGTGGGTGCTGTGAGCAGCTCCGTTCAGGCCTGAGGCCACGCATGTGTGCCCCGTGGGGGAGACGTGCCCCAGTGAATCCGGAAACAGTGGTGATGGCCGTTCCGGGAGGCTGACTGGGGGTGCAGGGGTCACTTTTCTAATGGTGGGTCTGTGTCCCCTGCAGGAATGTGGCTGCAGCGAAGCCGGTCACCCAGCAGCCAGCCCCAGCCCCCCTCCAGGTCCTGTGGGTCCTGCTGACCAGGCTGCGGTTGTTCCCAAACCAGTTCCCAGCCCCCACTTGCCCTACTTCCTCTCACACCAGCTCCTTCTACCCCTCAACACCCATCTGCTGGCCCCCAGCCCGGGCTACTGACATCAATCATGGCAATCGCTATTCCAGAGGTGTATGCGGTGGGTAGGGTCCGGTATCGCCTGCCATGCCTCACTCCCCGGGCACCCAGGTCACCTGAGGCCAGGGAGCAGCCACTCGCCCTGACCCAGGCTCCCCGGGACCCTCAGACACCCAGGAGGACCCCCCGGCCGCTTCTGCTCGGGGCCCAGCACCCCCGAGTCTGTGGAGAGGTCACATCTGACCGCGTTTCCAGGTGGCTGCCCTGGCGTGGGTGCATGGTGGCTTCCGGTTTCCTCCACACACCTGCTCTGTCCCGGGCTTAATGGAGGGGTTTTCCGAAGTGAGACCGTGGGCTCCCTCCAGGGCTGGGGGCGGGAGGACGCGTGGGGAATGTCAGCAAGCAGCCGCAGGCTGAGGGAGGCCTCCCCTCTGCAGCGTTTGTTAAATCATTCGTTCGTCTCCAACACTGTCTTGGGCATCAGGGAGAACAGGTGTCTCTGGTCCACATGCAGAAGAGCCACCACTGTGGCATGACTGGGTGACTCAGACCCCGGGGGGGCAGGGGCGATTTGGACACAGTCATTGTCCAGGGACACAACTTTGCCTGGACCAGAGCTTCGCACCCCAGGCCCTTTTAAACCCCAGGGGACACTTGACAAAGTCCAGAGACATTGGGTTGTCCCTCTCCAGCCCCAGCTATGGTGGGGACGTGTCTGTGTCTGTGTCCCTCCTTTCACTCTCTCTGACCTGCTCCCTCTCTGGGGGCAGCTGCTCTCAGTCCTCCCTGCCCCCACATCATCATCCTGCCTGTCCTTGTCGGTCTGCACATTTGTTGTGGTTGGAAGGAGCCTCCAATCTGGGTCTGCACATTTGTTGTGGTTGGAAGGAGCCTCCAAGGAGGAGGATGTGAATGTGTGTGTTCACAGGGAAGCGGCCGCCGCCTCCGTCAGTGTCTTCCGTCCCCAGAAAGAACCCAGGCCTGGGTGATTCATCGGGGCCTCAGGGCCAGGAGAGACTAAATCTTCTGCAGATGCAGTGAGATCCTATCACAGCGGAAAGGGAAGGGCTGGAGTCTCAGGGAAGGTTTTGCTGAGGAGACGGGCTTGGAGAGGGCTGAGGCTCATGGGAACTGCCAGGGTACAGGAGGGGAGGGGATCTCAGGGCAGGTGAATGGACACCTGGGTGGGTAAGAAAAGGGCCTTTCAGAGGGTCAGGGAGGGCCAGGGAGGGAGCAGTGAGCCCTGACTAACTGTGCAAGCTTGACTGGTTGGCCTGGTCCTGCAGGTGGTGTGGGCTGTATGGATTTTGGATGTGGGCCCATAACATAGCTATATTGCTGGAAGGCGAGTGAGGCTGAGGCAAGAAGAAGGCCCAACCTTGGGAGGCTAACCTGGAGGGGCAGGCAGAGGCAGGTGGTAAGGACCTGCCCTACTTGTTGAGGTGAGAGTGGGGGACATATGGCAAGGAAGGAGGCTCTGGATCCTCAGGATGAGGATAGTGGGCATAAGGGTGACAGCTAATGGATGTCCACCTCCACAAATGCCCATCTGCATAAGTGCCCACCTGTACCAATGTCCACCTGTATAGATACCCACCTGCACTGATGTCCACCTGCATGGATGCCCACCTACACAAATGCCCACCTGCACAGATGCCCATCTGCACTGATGTCCACCTGCACTGATGTCCACCTGCACAGATGCCCACCTGCACAGATGCCCACCTGCACTGATGTCCACCTACACAAATGCCCACCTGCACTGATGTCCACCTGGGTCCACATGCACAGATGCCCACCTGCACAGATGCTCACCTGCACAGATGCCCACCTGTACCACCTGCACGGATGCCCACCTGCACAATTATCCATCTGAACAGCCCTCTGGTGCCCTCTTGTTGCTCACACATGTTCAAATCCTCCCAGTCCTACAGTCGATTGTTCCTAGTGGGGTCATTCTGGGCATGTTATTCTAAAACTTGTTTTTTCCTGTCTCCACATCAAAGGAGAAAGGCCTAGCTTGTTTCTTTGCTATAGAGCAGGGCCTGAGTGAGGTCAGGACCACAGAGCAGACCCTATGAGGGATGGTCAGGACACAGAGCAGGACCCCCTTAGGGTCTGGAAGAGGGTTCCCCAAGCTCCTGTTCAACCTGAGTGAGAGGCTCAGGCTGCCCCCCTCCACACTTCACAGAATAATGGGCCATTGACTCAGAGCCACCCATGCCATGACCCACACTAACAGCAGCTCAGTTCCAGCCCTCCAGCAGGCAGGCCCTGGGAACACTAGGAACCTGAGACCCTGTCCCTTCCTGACAGCGGGACGTGGTGACATGAGGGGAGACAGAGTGCCTCCATTCTGCTCATGAAAGTCACAGAGGGCACTGGGGACCCCAGGCCCCTGACAATACCAGCACCCCACACAGTGCCTTTCTGGGCACACCCCACCAACACGGCCTGCCCAAGGAATCAGGAGCTTGTGTAGCGAAGTCAGCTGGGGGTGGCAGAGCCCCAGGGAACAATCATGGGTCGCTGGCAGATGAGCCAGGGGCCCACACAGCACAGGCCCTCACCCCTGCAGCTGGGGGAGCCCTCCTTGGGAGTGGGCCCAGGATCCGGGCAAAATGACACAGACCGGATCCAGGAGCAGACCGAGCAAGAGTGGCAAGCGTTCTCCAGGTTAAGGGAACATTTTCACCAACTGAGAGATGAGCTGGCCTCCAGACCCGAGGGTTCCACGTCCCTGGAGGCAACCAACCCAGACGCAAACTATTTGAAAAAGCAAAAAGGAAAAAAAGAAGAATACAGCAATAAAAGAGAACACAAATCAGAAATACAGTATAGCTATTGACAGAGCATTGCGTTGTGTTAGGTCTGATGAGTGATCTAGCAATGGTTCACAGGACGCAGGAAGACGTGCGGGAGGGTGGGCACAGGTGCTAGGCAGACCCTGCGCCATTTTATTCTGGGGACTTCAGTATCCACAGGGGTCCTGGGACTTACCCTCAGAGGATACTGAGGGACAACTGGATGTTATTATTTTATTTTAGAGACAGGTCTTGCTATATTGCTCAGGCTGGTCTCAAACTCCTGGGCTCATGTGATCCTCCTGCCTCTGCCTCCAGAGTAGCTGGGACTACCAGTATAAGCCACCATGCCTGACTTATGTTACAATTTAAAAACATCAGCCTGAAGAAAAGTCCACTGTCGGCCGGGCGCGGTGGCTCAAGCCTGTAATCCCAGCACTTTGGGAGGCCGAGACGGGTGGATCACGAGGTCAGGAGATCGAGACCATCCTGGCTAACACGGTGAAACCCCGTCTCTACTAAAAAATACAAAAAAAAAAAACTAGCCGGGCGAGGCGGCGGGCGCCTGTAGTCCCAGCTACTCGGGAGGCTGAGGCAGGAGAATGGCGTGAAACCGGGAGGCGGAGCTTGCAGTGAGCTGAGGTCCGGCCACTGCACTCCAGCCTGGGTGACAGAGCGAGACTCCGTCTCAAAAAAAAAAAAAAGAAAAGTCCACTGTCCTTTGCCTTTGGAAGTTCCTACCCACCATGGGTAAGATTTCTGCATGGACAGGCCCTGCTCCTCCAGCCTCTCTCCAGACTCCACTGATCAGCTGGCGTCCCCACCCCCTGTGGAAGAACATTCTGGGTTTCTCCGTCAGCCCCAGACCCACCTCTTGGGGAGATGACTGGTGACTTACATGTGTCTGTCTCTCCAGCTAGGCATGGTGCCACAGCAGGGGGTGTGAACACTGCGGTCCACACATTCTCGGCACCCAGGACAGGAGCAAACAAAAGGATGGCTGGCTGGCTGGCTGGCTGGCTGGCTGGCTGGATGAATGGAGGGAAGGAGGGAGGGATATAGGAATGGAGGGATGGAAGGAGGGATGATGGAGGGAGGGAGGGATGGAGGGGAGGGAAGGATAGGTGGCTGAGAGGAATGGAGAGATGGAGGGATGGAAGGAGGAGGGATGGATGGATGAAGGGAGGGAGGGATGGGTGGAGGGAGGGAGACAGGGAGAGAGGGAGGGATGGACGAGAGAGAGGGAAGGACGGACGGGAGGGAAGGATGGAGGGAGGGATGGATGGAGGGATGGAGGGAGGGATGGATAGACAGAGAGATGGAGGGATGGATGGAGGAAGGGATGGATGGATGGAGGGAGGGAGGGATGAATGGGAGGGAAGGATGGAGGGATAGAAGGAGGGAGGGAGGGATGGATGGATGGAGGGATGGAGGGAAGGAGGGATGGGAAGGAAGGATGGAGGGAGGGATGGAGGGAGGGAGGGATGGATGGAAGGATGGATGGATGGAGGGAGGGATGGATGGATAGATGAAGGGAAGGGGGGGGAGGGATGGATGAATGGATGGAAGGATAGAGGACACAGGGTCATAGGTTTGACAAATATCACCTCCTCAGAAGCCTCCCTAACACTCACAGAGTTTGATAAGTCCCCTGTTTGATTCTCTCCCAGAGCCCAGGTCACTCCAACACTGTCTTGCTTACCTGCCTTCTGCGCGGCTTGCCCTCTGTCTCCAGTTCCCGGAACAGGTCCCACCACCTGCTCGGCCCTGCTGGACGGGGACAGATGAATGTGGAATGAATGGATGGATGCCTGTGAATGAATGTGGGATGAGTGACAAATGAGTGAATATGGGATGAATGAATGAGTTAGTGAATGTGTGATGAATGTGTGAGTGGGTGAATGTGGGCTGAGTGAATGTGGGATGAATGAGTGAGTGAATGTGGGATGAATGAATGAATGAGTGAATTTGGGATGAAGGAGTGAGTGAATGTGAGATGAATGAATGAGCGAGTGAATTAGATGAATAAGTGAGTCGATGCAGGATGAATGAATGAGTGAATGCGGGATGAATGAATGAATAAATGAATGTGTGAGGAACGAATGAGTGAGTGAACGTGTGTTGAATGAATGAATGAATGTGGGCTGCATGAATGAGTGAGTGAAGGTGGGATGAATGAGTGAATACAAAGCCCCCCACCTCCTGTGTGCTTCAGCAGAACAGCTTCACAGGAATGAAGATGTCCTGGGCCCTGGGCCTCACGAAGCCAACCTTGGGGCTTCAGCTGAGAGTGTTAAAAATAGAGACCGTTAAAAAAAATTTTTTTTAAAGAAACGAACGGAAATTCCCTTTATCAAAAGGAGTCACTGTCATTGAATTAACAAAAGTTACATGTTCAGGAGCTGAGGGCCGTTTCTTGAAAATATAACACACCTTTCTAGGGGCTGCCCTGGGGAGAGCCCCGGAGTGAGGCCAGCTGTTTGGGAAAGCCGAGGCTGATGTGGGGGTCTGTGTCCAGGGTGGGGCCTTCGAGAAACAGTCATTCAACAGTCACTAAGAAAGACACTGACAATTCATTCATGGATGTTGCAAATAAACTGTGGGCCCCACATAAAGGATTGTTACTTAAGGAAAATGCCCTTGGCCAATTCGTCCTGAGGATTGTTTGGACAAAACAGCATTTGTCAAGGTGGAACTTCGCAACAGGAAATGCAAAGATCCAGAAGATCCAGATAAATAATTTGGGCCAGGCACAGTGGCTCACACCTGTAATCCCAGCAATTTGGAAGGCCATGGCAGGCCGATCACCTGAGGCCATTCTCCTGCCTCAGTCTCCCGAGTAGCTGGAACTACAAGCATGTGCCACAATGCCTGGCTAATTCTTTGTATTTTTAGTAGAGACGGGGTTTCACCGTGTTAGCCTGGATGGTCTCAATCTTCTGACCTCATGATCCACCCGCCTCGGCCTCCCAAAGTGCTAGGATTACAGGTGTGAGCCACCGCGCCCGGCCTTTTTTTTTTTTTGAGACCTACTCTTGCTCTTGTTGCCCAGGCTGGAGTGCAATGGCACGTTATCAGCTCACTGCAACCTCTGCCTCCTGGGTTCTAGCAATTCTCCTGCCTCGGCCTCCCAAGCAGCTGGGATTACAGGCACACGCCTCCATGCCTGGCTAATTTTTTGTATTTTAGTAGAGATGGGGTTTCACCATGTGGCCCAACCTCACTGCTCTCTATACGCTGATTATAATGTATTAGCATGCTAAGAGACACTCTCCCCAGCACCAGACAGTTTACAAACGCCATGGCAACATCAGGAAGTTACCCTATAGTGTCTAAAAAGAGGAGGATGGCCGGAAGCAGTGGCTCATGCCTGTAATCCCACCACTTTGGGAAGCTGAGATGGGCAGGTCACTTGAGACCAGGAGTTCGAGACCAGCCTGGTCAACATGGCAAAACCCCATCTCTACTGAAAATACAAAAATTAGCCAGGTGTGGTGGTGCATATCTGTAATCCCAGCTACTCGGGAGGCTGAGACATGAGAATCTTTTGAACCCAGGATTCGGAGGTTGCAGTGAGCCGAGATCACACCGCTGCACTCCAGCCTGGGTGACAAAGTGAGACCTGTCTCAAACAATAAATAAATAAATAAGTAAATAAAAGAGGAACCCTCAGTTTCAGGAATTGCCCACCCCTTTCCTGGAAAGCTCATGAATAATTTGCCCCTTGATTAGCATATAATCAATAAATAACTATAAAAATAGCCAACTAGCAGCCTATACTGGTCTGCCTATGGAGTAGCCATTTTTTTATTCCTTTACTTTCTTAATAAACTTGCTTTCACCTTATGGACTCTCCCCAGATTCTTTCTTGAAGGAGGTCCAGGTACCGTCTTGGGGTCTGGATTGGGATCCCTTTGTGGTTAACACCTTTCCATAACTGCTGTTAATGGGAAAAAACAGACTCTAAAATATTTCACAGAAGTTTATTCTGAGCCTGTACATGTGACTGTGGCCTGGAGAAAACACAAACCCAGGAAGCCTTGAGTGAGTGGCCCTGAGGCGGCTGGGTTACAGCTTGGTTTTACTCATTTCAGGAAGACACAAGTTACAGGCAAAGACATAAATCAGTGCGTGGAAGGTGCACACTGATTTGGCCTGAAAGGCAGGAGATCTTGACTTGGAGCGGGGTTTACAGGTCATAGGTAGGTTCCATGATTCTTTATTTTCTGAGACTGAGTCTCACTCTGTCGCCCAGGTTGGAGTGCAATGGCGCGATCTCGGCTTACTGTAACCTCTGCCTCCTGGGTTCAAGTGACTCTCCTGCCTCAGCCTCCCGAGTAGCTGGGATTACAGGCGCCCATCACCATGCCTGGTGAATTTTTGTATTTTTAGTAGAGACGGGGTTTCACCATGTTGGCCAGGTTGGTCTCGACCTCCTGACCTCAAGTGATCCACCCACCTCGGCCTCCTAGAGTGTTAGGATTACAGGCGTGAGCCACTGCACCTGCCGGTTCCACGATTCTTTAGTTGACGGTTGGTTGAAAGCATGAAACTTTATCTACAGAGGTGAAGTCGGAAGGAAGGCTGGAGTTAAGATGACCGGCGTGGGGGCTGAGGCCCTTGTTTTGCAGATGAAGCCTTGTAGGTTGCATCCCTCAGAGAGAATAGATGGCAAATGTCTCTTTTCAGACCTTAAAGATGTCAGGCTCTCAGTTAATCTCTCCTAGGTCCGGAAAGTCCTAGAAGGGGCAGTCCTGGCTGCATTCATGGAGATTCTCTACAGGTGCTAATTTCCCTGAGAAAGGACGCCTCTGGGGGGCCATTTCAAAATATGTCAAAGAAATACATTTTGAGGCAAAATATTCTAATTTCCTTCAGAGTCTGGCAATGCTATACCAGAGTCAGGCTGGAATTTGGTGTCTTATTGCCACACAGAGTGTGTTCCATCCGTCTTAGGATCCCGATTTTCATGTCAGGGCCGGCCATCTGTGCCTCAACTCTGAAAGGGAAGGTTGTGGCTGTAAACGGCTGTAAAGGTCTGGCTGTTCGCC